CAAGCCCAGCAGTTCAGCCAGAGGCTCTTCTACTGACTAAGCCCGATAGCCTGCAAGTGGAGATAGATATCTAGGTCCTTTGAGACTTTTGCTGACCTGACCCTAGGACCAGGGCTGGTAAACGCAGCCTTGGTGTCCAGCTTGGTCATTTCCACATGCACCCACATCCAGTAGAGAGAACCACAAGCTGTGGATAGCTAACAGCTCCAAACAGGTTGCCCAGGGCCAGTCACAGGAAGCATCTGACATAGGACTGCACCAGTCTTTGCAGATCTCCCTTATATACAGAAACAAACACAAAGAGGCAGCCAAAATGGAAAGATAAAAAAACAGGTCCCAAATGAAAGAACAAGAGAATTCTCCAGAATAAGAGCTAAATGAAATGGAGGCGAGAAATTTAGCAGAGTTCAAAATAATGATTATAAGGGTGCTCAACAGCATGAAAAAGGACATAGAAACCATAAAAAAGGGTCAGTGAAAAAAGCCAGATATGTAAGAATATACATAGTACTTTTTCATTCCTTTTTTTTAAAGATCTTATTTATTTTTAGACAGAGGGGAAGGGAGGAAGAAAGAAAGAAAGGGAAAGAAATATCAATGAGTGGTTGCCTCTCGCTTGCCCCCGACTGGGGATCTGGCCTGCAAACCAGGCATGTGCCCTGACTGGGAATTGAACTGGCGACCCTTTGCTTCACAGTCCAGCGCTCAATCCACTAAGCTACACCAGCCAGAGCGAGAATATACATACTATGTTTTTATATATTTGCAACTCTAGGAAGATAAACCCAATCTTCGGTAACAGCAGATTAGCAACTGCCTAGGGTAGGCAGTGGGTGGGTAGGAGGATAAGAGGGAAAGGAAATATGGAAAGTATCTGATGTATTGAATGTTCCACAGATTCTGGTGGTGGTACTACGGTACTGCAAATTTGTTAAAACTCATCAAAATATACACATAAAACACATATATTTTAAATGTAAATTACACATCAATAAAAGTAATTAAAAGCTATTCAAAAATGCAAAAATATATTACCTTAAGAAAATGAGTCTACCTTATTACTTTTCCTCATCAAAGCCAAATCACAAATAATCAAATGACTAACATTTTATTAACTTAATTCATACAAATACACTTTGCTAAAATTTTTAGAGTTGTTTTTTTTTTCTCTTACTGATTCCAGAGAGAGGAGAAAGGAGGGAGAAACAGAGAAAGAGGAACCTCAATGTGAAAGAGAAACACTGATCAGTTGCCTCTTACACACACCCCTACTGGAGACGAAACCCACAATCTGGGCATGTGCTCTCACTGGGAATAGAACCAGTGACCTTTTGGTTTGGGGAACAACACCCAACCAACTGAGCCACACCAGCCAGAGCCACTTTTTAAAATCTGGATTGAAAAATCCATTAGAATAACTTTAGAAGCTCTAAAAAATAATCATTACTATAGTCTGCCTTGGACACCACCTTCCCACTACAGTTAAACCTCGGTTCTTAAACACATCCCATCTCAAACAATTCCGTTTTCAACACCTGTTACGAAAAAAATGTCTCACTTGTTAAATAACACTTCAGTTCTCAACCCAACAACCCTCTCATGCTGATACCCAGATGATCACTTACATTTCTCAGGAGACAAACAAAGGAGAGCCAGTTTTCAAACAAATCGTTTCTCACACAGCCTTCTGGAACAAATTAAGTTCAAGAACCAAGGTTGCACTGTACATGAATTTATTACCTGGCAACTGACCAAACATGTTAGCAAGCATCTTTTGAATAAGAAAGGTACTACAGCTAATTCTTTGAAATTTAAAACACCAACACCAAACACATAGGAGTATTCTGCTTTGGACTTTAAGGTACAACATATATTTCTAATTGAATACTTCAAATCCATAGCCCACACAGGTAATAGAATTAATTGCATACCTCTCCCCTAGTCCTCTTTCACAATGTCTTAATACACTCAAGCTGTAACAAAAATCATAGACTAGGTGGCTCGACAAAAAACATATATTCCTCACAATCCTGGAGGGTAGGGAGTCCAAGACCAAAGCACTGGCAAATTCAGAATATGGTGAGAGCCTACTTTCTGGTCCACAGACAACCATCTTCTCACTGTGTTCTCACATGGAAAAAGGGAAAAGAGCTATCTAGAGTCTCTTTTTTAAGGGCATGAATCCTGTTCACGAAGATTCCACTCTCATGACCCTCACCTCCCAAAGGCCCCTAATACTATCACACTGAGGACTAGGATTTCAACACAGGAATTTGGAGGAGAGGAGGAAAATACAAACATTCAGTCCATAACACATATTTAATTTCAGCTATACTGTACTTCAAGTTTCTTAATCACCTATTGATGATAATCTTTTTCCTCTGAAGCTGCTACTGGTACCCATTTCCATCATCTCATTGGCATCCAGCATCAGCTTCATGGACATGCAATCTGAACAGCAATACAGGGCCCTGAGCTCAAGGCCCCAAACTTGTTTTAATGTTCTGCTGTTGCTATCTTGAATGCCTTAATAATTTTATCTTTGAACTTGTGTTTCCTAAATAAACTGATGGAATAATAGAGCATTCACATGGGCAGAGAAGATATTCACAATATGTACTTCCTCCATTTTAACTGCTCCATTCACATACAGAATTTCAGATGTCCATGAGGAGAAAATTCTGGTGGGCACCATGTGTGCGAGTTCTGTGAGAGTCAAAGTGAGAATAAGACAAGCAGAGGCACTGAGAGTCCTAAAAGGCTACATATTTCACTTCATCCAGTCAACGGTTTCAACATACACACACAAAAGTAGTGCCATCCTACGAGACACAAACCACCAAGGTACTCTACTATTTCCTGTATATTTTTTTAATCCTCACTTGAGGACATTTTTTTCCCCACTGTTTTTAGAGAGAGAGGAAGGGAGAGAGGAAGGGAGAGAGAGAAACATCAATTGGTTGCCTCCCATATGCACTTGGCCTGGGGAATGTACGCTCTCAGACCAGGGACCGAACCCACAATCTAGGTATGTGCCCTGAACAGGAATTGAGCCTGCAACGTTTTAGTTATGGGACGATGCACCGATCAACTGAGCCACACTGGCCAGGGTTATATCCTTTCTTACTTGAGTTAATTTCTTGTATTAGCAAACCACTTACACTGAAAATGATGACACTGCAGGAAAGGAAATGAGGGCAACTCTGGGTTCCTTTGACTTTCAGTCATTCCTTACACATCAGTATGCCAAAGGTAAAGAGTACTGGTGAAATGTGGATGTATAAAAAAGTAAAATAAAAGCAATAGAGTTAGTTTTGTGCAGCATTTCCACTGCTATGGTAAGAATGAAATGTACATATACAAACTACGAAACATAAGTTATAAATTATAATTCAGTAAGTGCATATAATGTTTCAATGTTCATTATTTAAATATAAAAGTGGCAGCTCACAATATAAAGGTGAACAGTAAAATTCATCCTAATAATTTAAATCTTTTGTTTTTTAACTTAGAACATATAAATAAAAATATAACATACAAGTTGAGACAGAGATAACAGAAGAAAAAAGCTTTATACTTTAGTGCTGTGATATAATGAGAAATACATAGTTGGTCTTTGTCTCTGGTAAACACATCCAGGTGCTGAAAGAGCGACCCACCCACAAAGGTCGCGGAAGCTCCATACCCTAAGCCCATGCCCTGTCTTTTATATCCCTTCCATTTGTCTGTTTCTGAATTTTATCCTTTATAAAAAACCTGTAAATGTAAGTAATCTGTTTTACTGAATTTTGTGAGCGATTCTATCAAACCTGAAGAGGCGGTCAGAGAAACCCCCAATTTATAACAAATCAGTCAGAAGTACCAGTGACAAACCTGGGACTTGCAACTGGCATCTGAAGTGAGTACAGTTTTATGGGACTGGGCACTCAACTGGAACCTAATGCTAACAGCAGGTAGATATTGTCAGAATTGAACTAACCTATGTAGGACACGCAGTTGTTCCCAGAGTTGGAGAAATGGTGTCGGAAAATATGCATGCACTTTGGTGTCAGAAGTGTTATGAGTAAAAATAGTTTGTAATTACCTTTATTTAACAACATTTTTTCTAGCTTTTATTTTTAACCCCCACCTGAGAACATACTTATTGATTTTAGAGAGAGGGGAAGGAAGAGAGCGAGAAAAACATCAATGCGAGAGATTCTCATATACCCACCAACCAGGGATGAACCCACAAGATAGATATGTGCTCCAACCCAGAATCAAACCCCTGACCTTTGAGTTCACAGGATGACGCTCCAACCAACTGAGCCACAACTGCCAGGGCTTCTTCTGAATTTTTTTTTAAACCATACCCAAGGAGACTTTTTCATTGTTTTTTAAAGAGAGAGACATCGATGCAAGAGAAAAACATCAACTGGTTATCTCCAGGACGCACCCGGATGGCAGACTGCATGTGCCTGGAACAGGGATCATACTTGCCCTGACCAGGAATCAAACCCACAAACTTTTGGTTGTGGGACAGCAATCCAACCAAATGACTCGCACCAGTCAGAACCTTTTACAAGCTTTTTGAACAGGGGACAGCCACTGGGGTTGCCCTTACTCCCACTGCTGCAAGACCCACCCTGTCTGGCAGTAGGAACTTTTGGGATTTAAAGAGCCAGTGACCCTTTTTCCTATTCATTTTCCTCTTTTTCCCATTTTGGGAGCCAGATACTAAAAACTATAACATTAAAAATTAAATGCATAAAAGAGGGAAATCCAAAAGTTACCGCATATATACAAGGAAAGGCTCAAAAAAGACCTGACAAGACCTTAAATTTACAGGTCATGCTAAACTCTGACAAAGAGACAGCCTCTAACAATCAAAACAAGAAAAATAAGTAAAACGTGAAATAGGAAATTATGGGCCACTCAGAGAAAAAAAAAATCAAAAGAAACTGTCCCTAAAAAAGATCTGATGGCAGATGTGCTAGAGAAGCATTAAAACAGCCAGGTTAGTGCTTGTTTCAGCAGCACATATACTAAAATTGGAACAATACAAAGAAGATTAGCATGGCCCCTAGGCAAGGATGACACACACGTTCAAGAAGCGTTCCGTATTTTAAAAAACAACTGTATTAAAGATGCTCAAAGAACTTAAGGAAGCTCTGGAGAGAGTCAAGAAAATGATTTATGAACAAAACGGAAATAACAACAAAGAAGGAGAACACCTAAAAAGAAACCGAAAAGGAATTCTGGATCTAAAAGACAGTAATTAAAATAAAATTCACAGGAATTCAAAAGCACATTTAAGCAAACAGAAGAATCAATGAATATGAAAAGATGCCTTAATGACTGTCTTCCCAATTTTACAGAAAAGCAACTAAGGAGAAGAGGTTATATCAATTACCCTTGATAAGCAATATCTACACCTCTGGAACAGAGTGTAAGAACCAGAGCCAGTAGCAACCAAAAATTTACCAAGCAAAAAGAAAAAAAATAAATAAATCAGTAAACTTAAAGACACAACAGTGGAAATTACCAGGTCTGAGGAACAGAAAGGAAAAAGACACAAAAAAATAACATAGACGAAGGGATCAGTGAGACACCACCAAACTGATCAACATACACACTGTGGGATTGCTAGGAAGAAAAGAAACAGAGAAAGAGGCAGAAAAAAAAGTGAAGAAAAAATAGCTTAAAACTTCTCAGGTGGGACTTCTGATCAAGATGACAAAGTAGACAGACATGGCTCACCTCTTCGCACAACCACTCTAAAATACAGAACAACCATCACTCAGAACCGTCAGACATCAAGTTAAATGGAAGTCTGACAATGCAAAATCAAGTTGAATGGAAGACTGACAACTATGGAATTAAAGAAACAACATCCATCCAGACTGGTAGAGGAGGCGCAGACAATGAACGGGCTGGTCCCACATCGGGATATCTCAGGAGTGAGGAGTCCTAACCCACACCAGGCCCCACAGCCCAGGATTCCAGTACCAGGAGGATAAGTCCCCACAACTTCTGGCTGCAAAAATCAGCAAGGACTGAGTTGGTGGGAGAAACTGCAAGAATACCAAGCACTCTTGAAGTAAGAAGCACTTTACTTTTTAATGACCCCACACACACTCTTACCTAGTCAGACTCATTCCCTCTGAGCTCCAGCACTGGGGTAGCAGCGTGAAAGGCACCAGTTGTATACAGGGAGAAACTGAAGTGTCTGGCATCAAGGCGAGCAAAGGCCATTGTCCCTTTGCCAAACCCTCCCCCCACCCCAAGAGCCAGTAAGCTGGTGCCATATCTGAGACTCCATCAAACTGGCTATCACAGTTTGACCCGCCTTGGAGTTCCATAGAGACTCTGCTCCACCCAACTACCAGTCCACCTGCGCTACTTTTCCACAAGAGTGGCTCTCTTGGCTCCTAAATACTATCCAACAAGCAACAGCTGGCTTTGGTTAACCCCCCGCCCCCAAGCCCGGCACTAGCAGCAGCCAGCTTAGATTCACAGCTTGGCTTCACATGAGAATTTCCAAGTCCAGCACAAGTAGCAGCCATCTCAGATTGCTTTACAGCTCAGGCAGTGTGCCCTGGGAAAAACACAGGTGGGAGCTGACCTTGGCCTGCATCACCTGGGAAACCCCAGGGCAAGCACAACCCAGTGGACAGCTACAGACCACATCAGAGCAACACCACCCTGCCCCTGCATAGCTGCTCCTCCACAGAGGGTGGAGGTTGGTGGTAAGTGGTCACAGCCAGTCCTTACAGCTGACTGGCCTGGGAAAATCCCTTCCACTGACCTGCCAACCAAGGCTCAACTACAAGAGGAGGGTGTACTCAGCCAACACAAAGGGTACACCTCAAATACCCAGCTTGGATGATGGGGAGGCTGTGCAACTGGACCCTACAGGACACCTACTACATTAGGCCACACTACCAAGACATGGAATCAAAGCAGTTCTACCTAATACATAAAAACAAACACAGAGAGGCTACCAAAATGAGGAGACAAGGACACATGGCCCAAATGAAAGAACGGATCAAAACTCCAACAAAAGAGCTACATGAAATGGAGATAAGCAATCTATCAGAAGCATTTTTCAAGATACTGTTTATAAGAATGGTCAAGGAACTTAGTGAAAACTTCAGCAGCAAAAAAGACCCAGTCATGAAATGAAAGATTCACTAATCAAAATAAAGAAAAACTTACAGGGAAACAAGAGTAGAGTGGATGAAGCTGAGAATCAAATCAATGATTTAGAATATAAGAAACCAAAAAAACAACCAATCAGAACAAGGAGAAAAAAGAATCCAGAAAAATGATGACAGTATAAAAGCAACTTCTGGGACAATTTCAAGAAGTCCAACGTTCACATCACAGGGGTACCAGAAGGAGAAGGGCAAGAGCAAGAAATTGGAAACCTATTTGAAAAAAGTGAAAGAAAAGTCTCCTAATTTGGTGAAGGAGATAGACATGCAAATCCAGGAAGCACAGAGAATCCCAAACAAGATGGATACAATGGGGTCCACTCCAAGGCACATGATAATTAAAATGCTAAAAGTTAAAGATGAAGAGAGAATCTGAAAAGCAGCAAGAAAAAAGAGGTTAGTTACCTACAGGGGAGTTCCCATAAGACTGTCAGCTGGTTTCTCAAAAGAAACTTTGCAGACTACAAGGGATTAACAAGAAATATTCAAAGTCATGAAAAGCAGGGACCTACCACCAAGACTGGTCTACCCAACAAAGCTATCATTTAGAATCACAGGGCAGATAAAGAGCTTCCCAGACAAGAAAAAACTAAAGGAGTTCATCATCACAAAACCATTACTATATGAAATGTTAAAGGGCCTCATTTAAGGAAAAGATCAAAACTATGAACAATAAATTGGCAAAAAATGCAAATATATCAACAATTAAATCTAAAAAACATCTAAGCAAATAAGAAGAAAGGAGACAGAATCATGGATACAGAGAACAATTTGATGGGATGGGAGTGTGGTAGGCAAGTTTGAGTAAAGAGATGAGGGGAATATGAAGTACAAATAGGTAGTTACAGAACAGCCATGAGGTTGTAAAGTACAGTTTAGGAAATGGAGTAGACAAAGAACTTATATGCATGGACATGAACAATGTTGGGGGGATTGCCTGAGGGAGTGGAATGTGCTGTATGGAAAAGGGTGAAGGGGAAAAAAAAAATCAAGACAATTTTGTTAGCATAATCAACAAAATAGAATTTTTTTTAAACTTCCCAACTGATGAAATATATAAACATCCAAGAAGCTTAAAGAACTCCAATAAGATGAACTCGAAGAGACCCATATCAATAAGAAAGATGCATATCAAACTTTCTAAAGAAAATAAAAACAAAAAAGAATCTTGAAGGCAGCAAGAGAAAAGTGATTTGTCATATTCAAGAGATCCTAAATAAGACAATAAGGAAATTTTTCATTACATGTTTTAAAGGCCAGGAGGCTGTGGGCTGACATATTTAAAAATCTAAAAGGAAAAAATTATCAACCAAAAATCCTATATTCAGCAAAACTGTCTTTCAAGAGTAAGAAATTAAGACATTCCCGGACAAAAAAGTCTGATGGAGTTTTTTACCCATGGACCTACCAGACGAAAAGTGCTCAGGGGTGTCCTGTAAGCCTTCCAAAGACACTACACAGTAACTAGATGCCACAGGAAGGAAGATCTCAGTAAATGTAAATACATGGAAAATTATAACAGTTATTATTGTAACTTTGGTTTGTAACTCCACTACTGGTCTTCATGATTTAACAGGCCCATATAGTTTCTTAAAAAAATAGCCTAAAAGTTGGTATCACTGCAACTATATTACTCTAAATTTTGTTTTTTTCTAATAGTTTAAAGGAAAAATCATCTTAAATAATTAATACTTTGTGATTTTTTTCACCATAAAATACATCAAGATGTAATTTTCTAACATCGGGAACTAAAAGGTGTGGATGGAGGTGTAAAGAAACAGATTTTTCATGTTATTCAAGTAAAGCAGGTAGAGATTCAAAAGAGTACTATAACTTTAGAATGTTAAATGTAATCCCCATGGTAGCACTAAAAAAACAGCCACACAAAAGAAAATGAGATGAGAATTTAAACATTTCATTATAAAAAAGTAATCAAACAAAAGAGAATAATATAGAAAAGGGGGGGACAAAAAAACTCTAAGACATAAAAAACAAATAGCAATGACAGAAATAAGTCACTCCTTATGAATAATTACTTTAAATATGAATGAATTTAACTCTTAAATCAGAGTGCAGAATGCATAAAAGAATATGATCCAACTATTTGCTATCTACACAAAACAGACACTTAATCCAAAGAAACAAATAGGTTGAAAGTAAAAGGATGGGAAGAGGTAATTCAACCAAATACGGCCAAAAGGAAGCAAGGCTATATTAACATTAAGCAAAATAGACTTTAAATCAAAAAAGTTCATAAAAAATAAAGGACATTATATAGTAATACAAGGTATAATGTAGCCAGAAACATAACCATTATAAATATTTACATGTCTTGCACCTGTGGGGACAAAGGGGTATGAACCAAATATTGATTGGAAGCTTACTTTGCACCAGCTCCCCTTTTGATATGAAAGGACTAATGAGGCCTATCCATACATTCTCCCAATAAACTTATAAAAAACATTTACTATGTGTCACATATGTGCAGTATTTCAGATTAATCTGAATCAATAAAAGGGCTTCATCTAAATAAAAATAACTAGAGGACATCTGGCCAAGATGGAGGCATAGGTAGGCAAACTTTGATTCCTCGCACAACCAAAAGGAGGACAGCAACAAATTTAAAAACAAAAAACAACCAGAACTGCCAGAAAATTGAACTGTATGGAAGTCCAACAACCAAGGAGTTAAAGAAGAAACTTTGCAGGCAGGAAGGTCTGGAAAGAAATATTCAAAGTCATGAAAAGCAAGGACCTACATCCAATATTATTCTATCCATCAAAGCTATCACTTAGAATGGAAGGGAAGAGAAAGTGCTCCCAGATAAAATAAAGGAGTTCATCATCACCAAGCCCTTATTATATGAAATGTTAAAAGGACTTATCTAAGAAAAAGGAGATCAAAAACTATA